CCCCGGCTAGGGGCTGCCACTACTCTGGCTGTGACACCAAGGAAGTATTGGTGCGGCTCCAGCTCTCTGTGATGGCAAGAGGATGCTCTCCGGCAGCATCCCTATTTTCTGGCCCTCTCTGCTCATCAGTGGTGTCTCTGGCCTGGCAGCTCAGGTGGGCTTCCCTCCCTGCAGGAAGGAGTGGGGCCTGGAGCCCTTCCTGCCCCCCTCGCTCCTGCAGCTCATCAAAGAGAAGAGCCTCCGGAAATCCCTCTCACAGCAGCTCAAAGCCCACCAGAACCCGCCTGGAGGCACCAAGGTGAGTCTGACCCGCACGGCCACTGCTCAGGGCTGGTGGGGTGGCAGCGTGTCCCCTGCCCCAGCCATCCTGCTGTCCCCAGCTGCTTGGGGACTCCTGTTATTGCTGCTTGAGTCCCCTTGAATGGGAAATAAAACCTGGGGTGACAGCCAGGCAGCTGTGCTCTCTCCTGAATCGACTTTTGAGAGCTGATCGGGATTTCGAGGACTGCAGCGAGGATCAGTGGGGTGAGGTTAGCCGAGAGCCAGATCTGAGCTTGGTGAGAGCGGCACACATCACTTGAGCCTGTGTTTGTTATCTCTGCTTCTGGACTTGGAAAGCTCTGCAGGAGGCTGCCACTGCCTCGGTCCCTGCAGCTGTCAGAGCTCCCAGGGGGGGTTATATATCGCCCAGAAGGGCTATACATCTCAGGGGGGATTATACTTCCCCAGGGGGGTTATACCTCAAGCATCTAGGCTCCTCCCTGGCTGTGCCTCTGCTCTGAGTTACCCCCCAGCCTGTCCCTGGCCAGGACAGCAGGGGAGCAGAGACCCCCTCCACCCCATGTCAAGCCCCCCAGGCTCGGTGCCAGCACAGCCCATGCTCCGAGCGTCAACGTGCTGCGCGCCCCTGCTTGGGACCTCCCAAGTTTGCGCCAGCCTCTTGCATTTCTTCCCCCTTGTGCTGGTAGTGCTCACCCATGTGACGTGTTTTGTCAGGTCTCCATGGCGCAGGCGAAGCTGCAGTACCTGAGGATCCTGAACGAGCTGCCCACCTTTGCTGGGGTCCTCTTCAACACAGTGGGACTGGTACGGTAATTCAGGATGGGCTGGGAGGTGCTTGGCACCGGTCTTGAGTGTGCGCTGGAGGACAGGGGAGATGTAGCACCCACAGAAACTCCATCCCTCTGTCTATTGCTTTGCCCCACTGGTGTCCAAGCCCATCCAGAAAAGCCTTCAGAGCCTCTGCTGACAGTAGGTCAGATCTTCAGCTCTGCAGGGTCCAGGTTGGCTCTGCTCTTGCCAGCCTTTTGGGCAACGAGAGAGCCTGCTCTGTGAAGTCAGAGTAGTCCCAGCCACATGCATATAGCTTGGTCCTGCCCTGGCAGCATCCTGCCATCCAACTCGGAGAAGGGCCACCCTTGGCAAAGGCCACTGCATTCCCTGCTTTTCCACACAAGGAATACTGTCTCCATCAGCAGTGGTCCAGCCTGGCCGCTGCTCGGCAGCTCTCAGGAAGCTGCCGCTGCCGTGGCCCACTCATCCCTCAGCTCCACCAGCCATCCCCACCCATCACCCAAGCCCCTCGCTTTCTCCGCAGCAGGAGGAAAACCACTGAGCCAAACAGGAGAAGGGTGGATCCGCTAAGGCTCCCTGTGGCCTGACTCACCATTCCATCCCTCTCGCTTCCACCCAGAGGTCTCCATGTAAGTGTGCAGCGTTGGGCAACTCACCTCTGGGGTGGGTACCCTGGCTGCTTTGTTATCTCTTACACCAAAGCCATGTTGCCGAGCCAGCCTAGGAGTTGAACCACGTGTAAGTGGTTAAAAGTATTCCCTCATCCTCTTCTGCGCTGGTCTGCCAGCTCCTCTTCACCTCCAGCATCCTTCCTCTGAGGAAGATCTCTATTTTCAGTCAAGGCTTTAGTCATTCTTCTATTCTGAAATGCATTCACTTCCTTCTCTCAGAGGCAATGTCAGATCAGGCAGATTTGTAACATGCTCTTACTTTTCTGTAGTGACACCGGCAGGCCTGAATATTTCATGTGGACAGTCAGTTCAGTGCTTTCATTTTAAACAGTCTTGGCATCCACACACCGTTCCCGGCTCTGAAGACAGGCTCAGGAAGGGGGTTCATGGCACCAGCTTCACCTGCTGCTTGGCAAAAGCCATCCAGGACCTGACCGAGCTGCTGCCATCGCAGCTTGGCTCCACGAGGGAGCCATGCACAGCCCGTGCAGCCCCAGGGTGTGTTTATTTACCCCACTCCATCTCCATGTCTCTCTTTCTCCATGTGCCACCAGGACGAGAAGCAGCCAGCCACCACGCTTCTGGTGGGACCCCGGCACGGTATCAGCCACGTCATCGACCTGAAGACCAACCTCACCACGGTGCTGTCGGAGTTCAGCAAGGTCAGCAAGATCCAGCTGTTCAGGGAGAACCAGGGGGTGGCCCGAGTGGAGACAAGCATCCTGGATGCCAAGGTAGGCATGGATGCCGCAGAAGCAGGCGCCGGGGAGAGGGGCCAGCACGGAGGCTGTGGTTGGGGGCTTCAGTGCTCAGCTTTGAGATTGTTCAGGACACTAGGACATGTCAGAGCATCTTCTTGGAGATGTGTAGGGACTCAAAGCCCCTTTCACATTGCGGTCATGGGGCATGTGGTCTGCGGCGTCTCCCCTGCCTGTCTGGCTCCTTGTCCCGTAGGGGCATGGACTGATGCCAAGGGTACGTGGTGCAGGCATGGTGGCATTCTGGCCATGACTCAAACACCTACCCAATGGTTTGAGCAGGGTCTCTGGGGGAGATGGGGGTGATGCAGGCCAGGCAGGTAGCAGGGCCCTTTGGAGGCAGGTCAGCATCTCGCCTCTGCTCAGGGCTGGAGAGGAGTGGTCCGTGGCCATTTCTGGGCTGGGCACAGGTGCTGGAGGGGGCTGGTGTTGTTTTGTGCATTGGCAGCGCTTGTGGTACTTGTCAAGCTACACACCATCATTGAATGAACTGGAAAGATGGGACGGGGGGTGTCAGGCTCAGAGTGCGAGAAGAGATCGCTGGGCATCCCTGGGCATGGGTGTCCCTGGCTCTAGTAAGTCATTCCCCAGGTATCTTGTCAGCTGCCTCTGTTATCCTCCTCTTCAGCCCACGGAGCAGTCTTTCCGCTCCTTAGCGTATATGGCCTCCTGGGCTCTGCGCGCTGCCATCCCCTGCTAGTCATTACGTGGTGCAGTGCTGGTCCTAGCAGTTGATCCCATGGCCAGGTCCTGCCACCCCTCCTCGCCCCTCGCAGTCTCCTGTCTCTCTTGGGTCCCAAACCCTTCAGAGGGACCATCAACAACGCAGTCAGAGCTTTACTGGCTTCTTTCCTGGTCCAGCAACCACAAGATCCTAAAGATATCTTCCACTGGCCTTTGCTCAGGTTTTTAATAAGCAAGGACATGTCTCCGGCAGATTCACAGGCAGGTAACCATGTGCCTGCTTCAGGACATCCTCTGTTCCACTGCCTTCCCGTGCCCAGCTCTTCCCTGCCCCATGGGGAAGGACAGAGCTGAGAGGCAGCAATCTGACATCTAATTGCCAAGCCTCATCCTCTCCTCCCACCTTGAGCTCAACAGGGCAGAGTTATGATGGAGTTTGGGCTGAATTAGACAGGAGCAGTGCTTGGCAGAGGCTGTGGCATGCCATTGCATCTGCCACGGTGGAGCTGTGACCGCTGTGGGGCAGGGGGATGCACAGCAGAGGGGGTGTATCTGCACAAGCCCTCCAAGCCTTTGGCTGTAGGTCAGTATTGCTGCCCCTGCATTCATCCCTTTTCCCAAGGCTGATGAAGCTGAGCTGCTGTGCTGGCTGCCTCCGCGTTTCCTCATCTCCTGCAAGGTCTCCAAGCCTCAACCCTCTCTGCGGCCCTTTCCCTGCACTCTCTATTTCAGCCATAGCCTCACAGATGTAACCATGGTGTATTTGTTTAGGATTCTCCTGCTGCCTCCTCTCCTGGTGGATTTTAGCACCTCCTCCCACCAGGCTCATTAATTCCTGCAAGTCTGTTTTCCTGCTGCCGCTGTGCCTGGTCCAGTGGCTCTGCTGAACTGCAGTAACACCCCAGTAGCCTTTGCCGGAGCCACGCTCATCCTCACCCCCTCTGCTTCGGCTGTCCCCTCCAACAGCCTCATCCACGAAGCCCATTTTTGTGTTTGTAATTCACTGGGTATTTGGTGAACTCTGACATCTCTAATATTCCCTCATCTGCATCCCACTGAGGTCAGTTGCCTAGGTGGAGTCCTGGTGTCCTGCTGTGCCTGTCTTTACCCTTCAGAGCCCTCAAACCTCACCCCTGCAGCCTGGGCAAGTGGCAGCCCTCCCTGCCCAGGCAGCCCCCCCTGCCCAGCCCCTCCAGCTGCTTGAAGCCCACCGGCTCTCCTTACTGCTTACAGAGCAGGTATGACCTGAGATACTGTTTGCACCGCTGAGTAACCCCTCTGGTTCCGCCTGGTGCCCACGCCCCTCAGATATGTGTGTATAAATCACAATATTAATACATTAATAAAAAGCTGGTTGGAGCACGGCGTGTTCCCACTGTCACGTAGCTCCGTGACCATCTCACCGGCTGTGAGACAGGTTGAGTTAGCTCTGCTCAGCCCTGGGAGCGCATCGAGGTCACAGTGGGGTGCACGGGCCCCTCTGGTGTCACCATCCCCTCCCTGTCATAGGGGAGGGCAGTCGTCGCCCCCGGCACAGTCCGGTGCACGGCAGAGACTGGCCGCAGGAGCAGCAGATGTGCTGGAGGCTGAGGTGATGCGACGTCCATCTGCTATAAATTAGGTGGCGATTCCCAGGCGGCTTCTCCACGGATCCTGCAGTGCCGCTCCCCTCAGCCGTGCTCTGCAGCAGTAATTAACTCCCTAACACCATCAGCCCTTGCCTGCTGTAGGAGTTGACTCTCTCCCATGTCCCCTCTATGCAGTCTCCCAATTGCTGTGTAAAAGGCAGCTCACAGACAACTTGTAGCACGCACGATGGCTTTATCTCCCTAAGGAATTCTGGGCAGCTGCCTGCAGCCACCGAAAGCCCCTCTGCCTGCCTGGAGCAGAGGGAGCATCCCATTTGTGAATCTCAGCAGGCTCAACAGCACCCTGCCACTGCAGAGGCTGCTGTTATCTGTCTTCATTTAGCCGTTATCCAAAGGGCTGGATTTTAAAATCAGAATGTCTGCTCCAAAATGAGGCATATGCTAATCCTACGCAGGACAGCGATGGATGAGGCAGGCTAAGAAAAGCAGGAAAAAAGATCATTACTTCACGGTGCTAATCTCCGTTCTGCAATTATTCTATTGCACTGAACGTGCCGCTGGCTAAAGCCCTGGGTTGCAAATAAATCTCGTTTCTACCGTGAGTCATAAACCGTTAGAGGGTTGCGCTCAAAGTAGTGTCCTGATGGCGCTGGGGCCCTGCGCCTAAATCCGTATATCGCCCTGGAAGCCTGCGGGAGCCCTGCGGATCGCAGAGCAGCCGGGAGCATCCCCCTGGGGCCATGGCGCTGGGGGTGCCTGGTGCTGCCTCGCGAGATGCTGGTGCTGGGGCAGCTCCAGTGTGTTCTGCGGGTAACGGCGGGGATGCGGGTGAGCCAGACGGAATCGGTGGGGTGGCGGCGGCCCATGGCAGCTGCTAGCTGGGTTACTGTGGAAACCGCAGATGTTCGGTGACGGTTAAGGGATTTGTGCAGAAAGGCCATTTTGAATTTTTAAGTGCCGGGTTTATTGATGTTGCGTAGTTGATCCTAAGGGTTAAAAAAAGGGGTCAGGTCACAGAGGAGCCATCAGCCGGGAGGACAGCACACCCCAACTACGTCAGCCGGCGCCGCCCGAGCATCCTTACCCGCTGCTCACCCGCAACCGCAGCCAAGAAGTACCTGCCAGGAAGGGGCTGGGGGAGATTTTCAGGTAACAGCAGGTCTGGGGAGATCATAAACCATTTGCATTTAGTTCAGGAGGAAAAGAAATGGTGTTTGTCTTATAAATTATTTACAGGGTAGTTAATTGTTTTGTTTTGGAGCTAGTCCATCCTGAGCTTCATTTTCTGCTTGAAACAGCTTATGTGGGATACAAACCCAGGGCTGGTGCTTCTGCTTTGCTTTCCTTAGGTGTTTGTCACTGCAAGAGTGGCAGCAAGGGGGGCAGATGCTGACAGGACCCCTTGTAGAGGAGCTGCACAACCTTGGGACAGAGGAACAAAAGCCCCTAGTCCTCTGCTACAGGGTCCAAGAAGGATGTTTATTCCCTGAAATGTCCGAGGGACCTGCTGGCAGGAGAGAAGCAGGTTTTGCCTCCACAGCCATGGAGGGAGCGGGGCAGATTCGTTTGGAAATGCTGGGAAAGTTCACAGCATGGGGCTGGGGGAGGACAGGATGGTGCTTCCCCAGCTGCACTGCAGTGGTGCAAGCATTTTGCAGGATCGTGTGGTCATTCCCACCTGACAAAGTCCCCCCCTCTGCTGAGGCCGGCACTTCTCCACTCGTCTTCCTGTGCTCCAGACTTGCTGGTGTTTGAGCGTTGATTCTGAAGCTCGTAGATTCGCTGGGGACAGGGGGGTGGCATATGGTGTCTCCTGGGATCTTTATGCATTAAATGCAGCTTGTCTCAGTGGTCTGGGGGCCCCATATCTCCTGGGGGCTTTCCCCTCAGGTGCACGGCAGTGCTGGGACCAGCATTTGAGAGGGGCCAATGCTTCTGAGCCACCTCAGGTTTGGGCTTCCAGGCACGTATCTCTCCTTCTCCCCAGAGCAGGACTGAAAAATCCTCTTCTACCTCCCAGCATCCCGGGAAGGGCAATGTCAGCATCTCCTGCCCAGCACCCGGGCAAGCTCAGCAGTGCTGATGGGGTGCAGGGGAGGCAGAGGGGCTGCTGCTCACTGCGCTCACCCAAGCTCCCTGGTGCAGGAGGCATGGGCAGAGCTGCTCAGCTCCACTGGCACATCGGAAACAGCTCCCCACGTCCAGCCGGATGACTCCAGCAGGTCACAGCCCTGACTGCAGCTCCCGCAGAAGCAAAGTTCTTGCTGAAATGCCTTTTCAAATGCAGCATTTCTCCTTTCTGATTTACACAGCTACATGCCGCTGGGCTTTTATTATTAACAGTCTTGATATTGGCAAAAAAAGCTGCCAAAGCCCTCTGAATGAAAAGGCCTCTGGAATGAAAGAGGAACACTCGGGGGGCAGATGGATCGCCTGAGCCTGGACAGGCTTCTGCAGTTTAAGGGAGGAGGTGTCCCAGGCTGCGCCTCGTCCCCGCGCCGGGCTGCGGGGCAGGAGCTCAGGGCGGCTGGCCGTTCACCAAGCGCAATTCAATCAAAGGCATCGGGGTAATTGCCGTCGTGTTTCGCAGCAGGGCCCACAGCCAGCCAGTGCTTTAGCCGAGATCAAGAGTCGACAGAGGAAAACAGAGGAAAAATTAATTCAGAAACGTCCCTGGCTGCCGCTGTGCCTGTAATCTGGCTA